CCCCCAAAAGAGGAAGATTAGTCATGGACAGAAAATGCTACCCAAATTTCTGAGTAACTCTTCCTGCATAAACACATAACCTGGTAAAAAACACAATCCCAAACCTGAACTAAAAGTTTCCAGCCAATGATAATACTGGAAATCTGGAATTCTCAGTAATTTCTTCTTTCCAATTCTTTTCTTTCTCCCAATGAAAGCATAGTGCAGTAAAGCACTGCCACTGAACTCAGGGCAGAGCAGAGGACTCCTCACCAGCACCAAGAGAAAGGCTGCAGTGTCACTTTGTCAATTGCCCAAACACAGGGACTTAACACATTGGTTTTAGCACGTTGCATCAGAGAGACTTACATCACAAGCTGTTTCAGCTGCTTTGCCAAACAGCTCCATGCTTTCACATTCTCCTTCCAGCCAGCATAATCCAAGGCTGCAAAAATAACTTCTAACCCCAGTCGACGTTTTTTCCTCTTCTCTGGAAAAAGATCAGGCTGATTAGTGAGTTACTTACATCAGGCTGAACTTGTAAGGCAGCTGTAAGTGAAAGGACTTTCCATTCTGCCTCCCCAAATGCTGCTACTGTCCCTGTCATTGAGGGTTTCCCCCATTGCCTTCTCTCTCTTCCAAGAGATAAGGAATACTTCCTGGCTCTAGAGCAGTTATGAGCAGAACTCCTATGAGAAACACTGTCTCTACTCCCATGCTGCTCAAAACCTGCTGACTCAAAGCACACACAGGGCTGCTCACTTATCCCACACTACCTCACTTACAACACTTGTTTCCAAGCTCCCCACCCAGTGCTTCCAGTCAACATGTTCTTCCCCTGGGAAGGGAATGCAGTGCCTCTGGAACACTTCAGATCCTGAGGTGCCAAAGATCAGATCTGGGACTGATAAAACCCAGACATTTCACAGCAGTAGTTACATATCAGCAGAGTTCTTAGAACAGCACTTGAGCTGTATCACAACAGGTAAAGGTGGGAAAAGTTGTGTTTATCAGTCTAAACTTCTTCCAAAAAAATATCAGGTTGTCCTCATTAGCTATGCAAAGTTAATAAATGTGTCCTGAGTGAACAGAAAAGGGGAGTTTTTAGCCAGGAGGCTGGTTTTTCCCCTCCCAAAGAAAAGCAGAGAAAGAGTATGCAATCCTTATTCAAGGACCAATCTACTGACCTGCTAAAACATACCAGGTTGCAAGCAGACAGCTTGGATTACAACTGATCAGCATGGAAAGAACAGTCTCCGAATGGGAAGACTTTTCTAACAGCTTGAAGATAAAACTCCCTTAAAGAGGAGGAAGAGTTTGTTCTTTGATCAGTAACAATGAACTAAAGCATAGATCCATCTCAATTCCTTCAGAAGATAAAGAATCAATACACTGGAGACTCCAAAAAGGGAACAGAGACCCTGGCACGGGGGTTGGAGCTAGATGATCTTAACATCCTTTTTCCAACCCAAACCATTCTGTGATTCTATTTTTGAGCTCCTGGCTGTGCCTTACAACAGTTTGCTTTGATCAGCCTTTAAAATGAGAAAGGCATTTGTTTAAAGAAGCTTGTAAGTGCCTGCTCACACATCTAACTTAAAGATTCCTGTGATTGTGAAGTTGGGGTTTGGGTTGGTTTTTAACAAAAAGAACTACTTCAAAAAGCAGAAAGGAGGCTGCAGAATAATTTCAGAACATTATTCTAGCTTAACGTAAAAGAACAAAAGATATTTGAAGACTTACTTGATTTTTGAAGCATGAGGTGAAAATCTATCATCAGTTCATGAGAAGGAACAGTATCATGCAAGTTCTGAAAAATAAAACACAAAACCCAGATGCATTGCTTTAATGTGAAAACTGTTGCAGACTCCTGCCCAGTCAAGAGAAGCACAGGCTTCTTAGGGGTTCTAGTGAGGAAAATCAAGCAACCTGGTACCATAGTGCCTTGATATAAAGAATGAGTATCTAGGTTCATTTTGCACATCTGTGACCCTACTCTGACACAATGGATGAAATACCTTGATGACTGTATGTGACAAATACAACATTCTCAAGGAACAGCCCAAATCCAGATCCAGTGTCCCCATTTTGGGAGGCAAAATAATTCCTTCCTAGGCCACTTCTACCTCCCCTGTCTACTGCTCTGTGCATTGCATCAGAGACCAGTTCTTTGATTTGTCACTATCTTGTAGGTGATACAAGATACCACGATTTTTATGCTATGGTTTAAAAGTCTAAATTTTATGAAGCTCTTTTAAAAGCTCTGCCCTAACAAAAGCACCTTGGTGCCATCAAGTGGCAAAACACGAGTGCAAAACGTTGTTTGCAAGAAGCTACTAAGATCAATGAGCAGGGGCAAGGAAAGCAGGGATTTAAAAGCAACTATAGAAAAGCTTAATACAGGAAGGCCTTGTCTGCCAACATCAGCAGATGTTGACTTCTATTTTAGCTTAAACGCACAGCTCAGTGAACATAAGCAGAGAAACTAATTGCAATATGTGGAAGAGCAAGTATTTGATAATTTCTTCAGTATTGTAAAGATCAAGCTGTAACAGAAATCAGTGCACGTGATGTACAAGCCTGCTGATGCAGACTTCTGGAACCATGTAAGCACACTCTCTGAGCTTGCTTACTGACTTGAAGTTATATGATGTATCAGTTAAAGACAAAACAAAGACTTGAATTTAGAGATAGCAAAGGATACTGTTCACTCCACCATTAGCATCCCTACCACTAACTTCCCTCTAAACCTCTGCTTCCCACAAAGAATACAAGAGGGTAAATAACACTACAAGGAATTCAACTGAACCAAACTCTCAGACCAGCATGCAATATGAATGGCCATGGACTGCATCTAATATAAAATACATACCTTCAGTGCAGATAAGAGTGATTTCTTTGATTCACCTTGCCTCTTCAGGAACTGATAGAGGTAAACATGAGCATTGGGATTAGCAGGAAACTTTGAGTTGTAGGCATACTCATGTAATATTTGGCGGGCTTCGTTATGGTCTCCATAGAACTCCAACAACTACGAGAAGTTAAGTCTGTTGTTAGTTTACCACATATTAGCAATCAAACTCTCACAACTCATTTTGGGCTGCGACAGAACTATTCAATAGCATAGCCTGGATTTAAGAGTGCAGCATATGAGGTAAGACTATGAGTAGTGTATTTTCATTTTACTGGCTACTCTCATCACACATAGATGAAGATTCACACATAGAAGCTGCTACAGAAGAAAATTCCTTGAGCACTTACTTAATTGTCAAAGAATTACCAGCACTTGCTTGCTGGAAAGAGACACTGAAGCAGCAATGTCTTTAACGAGAGCTCAGTGAGAAAACCTGGCAGCACCGAGCAATATTTTCTAAGATGTGCTCAGAGCAGTCAGTGCTTATCAACATTTACAAGGAGTAAATAATTTCAAAGATAATTCAAGATTAACTTTATTTCTTAATTACAAATTCTAAGGAGATATTTTCTATCCTAGCACCATGAAAACAAGATATGCAAGCTGTTTGGCTATTTCTTTTTCTTGGCAATGCACAGACAAAGTCCTTTTTGTACACTGTACAGGCTCAGCAGTTCTACTAGGAGTAAACTGCGCTCTAAATCAAAGCCAGTGAGATACATGTATTACACATTTGTTGTCACCCACACACATCTTAATGAAAGTTAAGCAGGGGAACACAAGAGGAAGCTATCTGTAAAACATGCCCTTACATCCACGTAGCATTTTACAAATTGATCCCAAACTCCAGGTATCTTAATAATCTCCTTTAAGTTCACTGCTGCATTCCGAAAGCAACTGTGCATTTCCTGTTCAACAGCCAAGTCTTCAAATCCATCCTGATCTACCAAAACACAAAAGAACACCACTATTAGCTCTGCTTATCAAAGGGGATTTTGAAGTAGTGCATCATCATTTGGTGCAAGCAATGACCATCATTTTGCTAAGCAAGGACGGCAGTCAGGTTTTAAGAAGAAAGACCACAGTTTCCTCGGTCCTGAATCAAGAAGTGTTCACTGTTCTTCATTCAAATTTATTATGACTCCATTTCAACTTATGGGGCGTGATGAGATGCCACCAGCACAAGGTCAATAAACCAAATTCAATACTGCGCTTTCACAGAAAGCAGCAGAGGTACAGTGTAACTGATAATGCACAGTCAGCAGGTACGTGCAGAATGAGATGCCACACACAAGTAGCAACCCGCATCTCTTTAAGAAACTGAAATTCAAACACAAATTTTGGGGGCTTTTTCCTAGCAGTCAAAATTCTAGCAGCAGTCAAGCACTTATGCACCTATTAAGCCACTGCTGTAAGTGAATACATTCCTTCAATTGTTACTTTAGGTGATGCTGGCTGGATATAAGAAATGGGATTCAGTGGGGTGGAGAAAATGCTTCCAAGCAGCATTTCAGGACACTTCAGAAAAGTGCAGGTGAATGTGCCATTTTGGCACCACCATTTCTGATGCAGGGTTATTTACCGTCCAATTCTGAACTCTAGAAAAGAAAAAGGTGTCATTGCAAGCCATGGTGTCTGCATGGGCAAGCAAATTGAAGCTTACAGCTCTATACGATAAGACTTACCGTGCTCTAACAAGATGTTCTTCTGCTTAGACCACTTATAGTAGTCCAACAGTCCCCTGTAAGCCTGAATGAGTTTCATTTCTCTATCCTGAATGACAGTTTGTTCTCCAAACCTCCAGCTTTCTGCCAGGGACAGGTTTTGGTAAGCTTCATCTACGAGTCCATTACAAAGGAGGTGAAAGGCATGCTCTAGGCAAACCTGCAATTCAAACAGACCATAGCACAGCATTTCACAGCACAAATGCAAGTCTCAGCAATACAGCAAAGATCTACACAGCTGTGCAGGGAAAGGTGAAACTCCTTACTGACATGCATATATAATATTGCAAACGTGGCTAGTCAGGTATTTTAATTAGAAGAGCATTTTAGACTTTTTACCCAAACATTATCTTTACAAGGAATT